AATTGAGAAAACATGCCATTCTTCTAAAAATGTATTCAGTATTAATATAGGCATTAATTCAGGACATGACATTGCTATTCTGTGAAATTCTTTTTTAGGGCCTTCCATGGGAATAAACCTGCAGCAAACATTCTGAACGAGTAACGTCACACAGTCAACCTTACTGCGATAATCAGAACCTTTCCTATCTGTGTCCAAAGTTTCAAGTTTCTGTCTCATGCTGCTGGAACACGTGCAAATACTAAACACCATCCCTTCACCAAAACAAAAAGCAGTGGGATCTAACAACAATCTAGTCTAAAATGTTTCTCCCAAATATGAAAAAATAAGGACGCAAGGACCGCAAAGTTCTACCTATTGGCTGTTAAACGTTTCACCAACTTTCCAGCCCGCTGATTTCTCCAGCTCTGAAGCTTACATTCAGAGACAAAGCTGATGCATCCCTGGCTAGTACAACCATAAATGGGCAAAAAAAGGGTCATCTCCAAACTTTCTGCTGGAATTCAGTACTACTAATGTTACTTCTTGGATCAGTAAAACAGATTCAAATTTCTTTAAGCAAAACAGTAAAATACCCTTTACATGATTGTGAAAAACAAACTTCCGTCACCATGACTTCTCTTGGCAAACCATACTTAAAACAGTTCTGCCTAATAAGCACTGAGCGAGTGGCTGGCATTGTTCTGAGTGTCAGGGGTGCTAATGAAAAAGCATAGGACACTTCCTGTCTTTAATCAGAGGCTTATGATATAGATGAAAGGATGAGGCTTTTAGATTAAACAATTAGGGGCCAATACAAGAGGAATTTTTTTTTTAAAGCCACATTGTGTAGTGTAATCAACAGTTTATGGAAGCTCTAAGGTCCCCACCACAATCATTTTCTCAGAAGAGTGGCCCCAGGCTGTTCCTTTTACATAAAGTTGCGGGCTTACAAAGCAAGAGAATACATTTAATGGAATCAACATTATTTCCCTGGTGACAAACGAATGGACCATGAACCATGAGCCAAGGTTATCACAGCGATTCTACATAGAGATGGTGAATATATATACACAGATCTTCTGTTTGGCGAGTGTGAGCAATGTGAAGAAGCCTATTACTGGAGCTACTGGAGCTGCTGTTGAATGAGGGATGACAGCAGGCCACTATTCCAGTTTTCCGTGAAGACTACAATGCATCCCAGTCTATAAAGTACAAGCACAGAGGAACTCTGGCTGCTGAGGCAGTCGCCTGTGCTTCCTCAGTTCCCATGTTCCTTACAATAAGGCCGTATTAGTTAAGGTTATTCTTACAATCCATGTCATATATGACACCGCTACTAAATTTTAAGAAACCAAGAAAGGGTGAAATACCTATATATGCTGCTATATCTAGAGGACACAAGTACTCAAGAGGGAGAAACATCTCTAAGGCAGGCATGTAGCTAGAGCTCATGTTCTCCTTATGTCTATATTATGTATGTGTTTGAAACAGATGAAAAGACAATTTTAAGTGTATGCTTTTGATTTGGGGGACAGGTACTGAAAAAAGAAAATAACAAAAATAAAAACTGGTCCAAAAGTAGGCACCCGTCTCATTTGAAAAAGACAAAAAGCAGAGTAGAGATGATACGATGAACTGATGACATTCACAATCTCCTGAGAACCTGTTCTTAATGGGAAATTGCCCCAGGAAGATAAAAATTCCTTTCTTTAGTTATTAGTGGATAAGACAACATCATCTAAGGATAGTATTTTGTTGTTCATTGGAGTTACCAAGTAAATGTCACCTTCCCACTGTGCTCCTCAGTGTCACCTTTCTCCGCCCTTTGGAATCACTTCTTATCCTACTTGAGCTTCCCTGAGATTTGTTCCTGTCCACGCTCTTGACTCATTTTGTTATATTCTTTAATCTCCCCTCCCTCCCTACATAGATGATCATATGAAAGCATTAAGAAAAAATAAACATTAAATTGGATTTATTCTTAGTAATATATCAGTTATACCACACTGAGAGTGACTTCCAAGGTTGGAGAAAAAGCTATGTCCCACCACCCCGGCTCCAAATCATAAGAAAACAAGTCAAAGAGGGAAAGAAAGACAAAACAGTTGTAGGAAAACCAGGTATAAATACCTGGAACTAAACAGAGTAGGTTTCTGTGTTGTAGACAGAAAATGTAAAAAGAGTCAATAGAATAGGAAAAGGTTTAAACCTCTGGCCATTACTAGGATCATAAGCATTCTTTCTTGGTGGCCTGTAATGGGAACGTAGTAGTTAGTCAAGAATGAATCTGCTTTGGAGAAAATCATTCAACAGCTCAACTAATGAGATTAAAGGGTGTGGGAGTATGGGGTGTGAGAGAGAGTTAAGTTTTGCAGAGAGTTGGTTTACTCAATAGCAGTGTACAAAACAGTCAATGGCTACTTCTACACTTTTAGATATTAAAATATTCTGTTAAATACATGTCCAATTATAAGATAAAATACTTCTTTACTTATTGGCTTTGTTATATCTGGTTTAACTAAACAAAACCTTGGGCTTTCAGAATCTATATATAGTTTACCCTTGAACAACATGCGTTTGAACTGCACAGGTCCATTTATATGTAGATTAAAAATAAATAAATACTATACAGTACTGTAAATGCATTTTTTCTTCCTGTGATTTTCTTGATAAACTTTTCTTTGGTTTACTTTTTTGTAAGAATACAGTATACAATATATGTAACATACAAAATATGTGTTCATCATCTGCTATGTTATCAGTAAGGCTTCGGGTCAACAGTAGGGTATCCGTAGTAGTTTTAGGGGAGTCAAAGTTATATGCGGATTTTGGACTTGCACAAGGTCAGTGCCTCTAACCATTGTTCCAGGATCAACTGTATTTCTTAATTTCCAACACAATCATACAGTATCAATTACAGTAAGTTCTGTCGATGAAACGAAGAACCTAAGTGGGAGAAAAATTCTACATCCTCCTGCACAAGAAATGATGCCACTCATCTTTCTGATAAAACTTTAGAATATTTTGTATTGAAAAACCGGTAGAGAAAACCAAGCATAAAGTCCTAACTCATTTCATTTTCACTTAAGCAAGAACAAAAGAACAATCCAGGATTTAAAACCCAATTCCTGCCCCATGACATAGTTTATAGTCACTATGATCAAATTAACTTTATCCCTACTGTAAAAAAAAAAAAGAAAAAGATGTTATCTCTAACTACTGTTATCTAATTAAGTTCACATTTATTCTTACTTTTGCTTGATATAAGACACCAAGACGTGATAAATCAGTAATTAGGAAATGAAAAATCCTAACAGAATGTGAGAAATACCCCTAACAGTTTTCCTGAACATGAAAGAGTTTTTCTTCCTGAACATGAAAGGGTTGGGGCAGGGTTATTAACAATTTTCCAACAGCACTTTTAACAGAAAACTAATGAGAAGCAGCTTTTACAAATGCAAGACATGTAAAGCATATTTTTAAAAAAGGAACACTATTCATTTTCCTTTTATAAATACAGTCCCTTTAAAACAAGGACTATTTTCTCTCAAACAAATACTTGTTCTCTTCCCTAGAAAAACATTACTAACCATGACTTCAGCCCATGTCCTGACCATTGCTATTTCCAATATATACTATATACTGTTTCGATCAAATAATGGAGAAATTATCCTGACCCTAAGAAAAAGTATTTGGCTATTTGAGTGTTAAAAACATTCTTCTCTGGTAACTTCCATAACATTTACTTCAATACATTCCTTTTAACATCTATCAAGTCTCTTCTTTGTAGTGTTGGGTCTCATTTTTAAAAGTTTATTTTTTTCCCCCACTTTAAACATGACTGTGTCAACACTAAAGCAAATACCTAAGTTTCCATCAGCCAACTCACAGCCTTGATGAAACCCTGCTCTATGCTGCCCCCTTGCTGCTGAAAGTGAATCTCCGGCTGGTGCCGTATAGAAACAGACCGATTACATCTGAGAGAACAAGCTGAGCACAAGAAATTTTGTGAAAAGGCAGAAATCATGAGATGCCATTGCTTAAAATATTCCAAATCTCCTAGCATATTTGATTAATAACTTAAAATATATGAAATGTTTGATTTCCCTAATCCTCAAGTGTAAAGCTCTCTGGTCTTAAAATTCTGAGGTATTAGATATTTGTACCTTAGGAAAAGAATTATCAGAGAATTTCGGTGGTACTGAGTGGTGACAATAATCAAGGGAATTAATTGTTTACTCTCTTGTAGTCATATGATTACTTCTAACCATGTCCTCTCTTCATTTGCTTTTAAAGAAAAAGAAAAACCTAGTATACAAACTACTAAGGAATTGATTCACCTGTGTTACTGGTTTAACATACAGAACTCTAACACAGATCTTCATATGGCAATTCTATGAAGAATATATTTTCATTTTACAGGAAAAGTAGATGGAATGTAAATAGCTATGCAGTTTTTCCCGCTTAGTCTAACACTTATAACACTCAAAAGTGCTCATATAAACATTTACTTTTGCATAAGCTGACTGATTATCTAATTCCTCACCAACAGGAGTAAATGTTTGATGAAGGAAGTCTCAGGAACACAGATCAAAACATTTTTTGTTTTGATTCATATATTAATCAGCCCATGATTCATCTTCAGCCCACATTTGGGAAATCTCTTTTCCAATAACCAATGGGAATACCACAAGGCCTAAGCAGAAATTTTTGTTTTTACTTCTCCTTTGGTTATAAACAAACAATATAGCAACAGAAATGACAAAGAATTAAAGTCAATAAGCATTTTATATTTTCTGAATACAAACTCATTGCCTGACATCATTTCCGTGTTCATTTTTATAATGCTGAGCAGCTCAAAAATGAGCATGTTATTTAGCACTTAAACTATTCCACTTATAATTTATTCTATATTGCTTCCTGTCTCTCACATCTTTTTATCTTCCACAGTATTCAGCCCAATATCTTGTACACAGCAGCCCAAAAATATTTCCTTTATTCTTTCAAAGTGGACTTACCCTTCGAAATGACACAACATAAAATGTGTCTCCCCTTCTATGGATGGCTTCAAAGAAGTCTTGGTAACTTCTGGGTGAAGCATAATATACTTGTAGCTCATTCCCTGAGTTCCCACTGAAGAAAAAGGCAAAGAATTTTTTAAACTAAGAAAATTCATATCCTCTCAGAAACACTTCCCATTCTAAGGCTATGTGTGAAGTATAAGAATCTCTCTGAGCCAAAATATTAGTAGCATTTTGGCAGTAATTTTGTAATATATTTTGAAAAGCCCAAGGTGAGGACATGACAAGACCGAATTCACTAAAGCTAAAACTCTCATTTCTGAATGGAGGCTCTAAAATGTACCACACAGACAAGTGCATTGCAAAGCATGTAAAGATAATAAAAGTATCAGAGGACCGATTTCTGCATTGGTTTTGCATGATTTTTTGATAACAAAGATTAAGTCTGAGGTAAAGTTATTTTTCACCTCTCTGTGGCCAAATCTGTGAAGTGCTGCTTGCCTGAGGCTCTGTGAAAGGTGGGAAGAGCATAGCATTTAGAACCAGACAGACCCGGCTTTGAATTCCTGGTCCGCTCCCCAGCTGGGTGCTCCTGGGGAAATCAACCTCGGAGGAGTATCTTTCCTCATCCATAAATCAAGATAACCCTACACTATCTTACTGGGGTCAGGGATGTTCTGTATGTAAAGTACCAGGCATGGATCCTGTGCCATAGGAGTCACTCGACAAATGCCGGCCACAGATATCAGAAGTACCATGCCGGTGCCTTGATAAAATTATAACTAAAATGATAATACCTCAAACCACAGTGTATCACCAAAATATATACTCAATTGATATTAATGTAAATCTTAATAATATTTCCAGAGTCTTTTACTGTTTAGCGCAGTAAGACAACACCCAGAGGTTAGAGGAGAGTTAATAAATAATGCTTCATTTTTTTCCAAAAAGATAATCGATATGTTTTCTTTCTTATGTGATCATTTGTTTTCAATCAAACTTTCTTAGAAGGAGAAAAAGACTGAATTACAAGTAAGTTAAAAATGAGTAATAAGAACTTTCTTTGAAATAATTCCATTTGCTCACTAGGCCGTTTCTGACCATATTTGAACATACAATCGATTCTCACGGTGTTGTGTTGTAGAAAGTCAGTGTGAACACGGGATTAGCAAATACTGAGCCAGTCGCCTAAGGAAAATACAGGTCGGATTCCTGTAGGCCGATGTGTGTCAACTGGTCAGTGCATGACCTTGTTTCAGATGTTTCTATTTAACGACATCTTCTTTAACGCTGAACATCATGAACACCGAACTCACAGTCAGCAGCATTATGACTTGGACCCGAAAAAAGCTTATCTAGTGTGTATTTTCTCCACATGGCGCAATACCGCCTTCTTGTACTTACAAACACTAGGCAGCACTTTGGTACTACAGCTGCGACATTTAAAACAGTGAAATCACCAACAAAAAAGCACAAAAATGTGAAAAATTTGGCATTAAATAGACTCAAAAAGGCACTTGTTTACAGTAGAACAGCTGAAACAGGAATGCAGAGTGTGGTATGGTTAAACGTCACCTGGGGACATCTACGCATGTTTGTGAATGACTATGAGAGCACTCTGAATATTGATTTTGGGGTACAAATAAATTATAATGAGGAGGCAGATTCACAAGTACAGAATATATGAATAATGAGTTCAATTCTAATTCATTTAAAACGATTTTTTTAAGACTATCTTTGTAGAGCAGCTTTAAGTTCACAACCAACTTGAAGGGAAGGTACAGAGATTAAAAGCATTTTTAACTAGTGAAGAAATAATATGCCATCATAATGATGCATCAGAAAAGATGTACTTTTAAATATACATAGAACAAATGAATGAAATATTATGGTTACAGAGAACTGTTATATATATTTGAATTAAACATTTCTGTGGATAATACAATATCTCAGGAGTTTAAACAGTCATTGCTGATATGCTGCTCAATGCTACTTAATAATGGTTTTTAGTGAACAGGATAATTAATGAATGGATTTCAACTAATATTTTATATATATTCTCAGTACCTTATACACTGTCTGGCACACAGTTGGTTCTCAGTAAATGTTAAATTAAATAAACTGTGGACTCTAAATTTGTGACAGAGCTACAGACAGAATCTGAGACTCCAACCTTTTACCTCAGTGATACTGTTGTCAATGACCTCACATCATCATCATTACCATATTTTATGGAGTATGTTAAGTACCATGTGAAGTGCTTTAAATATATTATGCAACTTAATTGTATCAATTCTGTGCAGCCAGAATTTTGGAGATGAGGAGACTTTTGAATTAAGTTAACCTGCTCAAATCTACAAAGCAAATCAGTGGAGGAAATGATCTGAACTCTGCCCAACTTGAAAGCTTGCATCTTAACCATGATATTGTATTGCCTCCCATATTATCGTTCCTTTTAGTTAGATATATTTTGGTCAGTGCATTTCAACTTCTAAGTTCAGCACTCCTTTTGCAATCTTAAGTAGCAGTTGATAGTGAAGAATGCATTTTAAGTCAAATTGCTAGGATCTGAATTCTGCTTCTGCCACTGATTGGTTCAATGACTCTGACTTCAAATAAATAAATGACCTGCCAGTTTTTCTATACATAAAATAGGGACTGTGATATCTACACATTAAGTTATTATAAGGATTTAAAGATAAAATGTAAAGCATGTAAAGCATTCAGCAGGACACATGGCACACAACAAGCACTCCTAAAATAATATTCTGTCTCCCTTGACTCATGTAATAGATGCAAATCAAGGACAGGAGAGTTATATGTATTTAAGATTTATGGCAAACTTATGACTAAAGAGCACTCCAACTAAATGTGTATTTAAGGGATTTGAGTTAACCTTTTGAAATTATCTGGGTTTACTATGACTGCTCAGAAGCAGGGTAAGTTATGTGAACTAATATACAAGTCACAGATGAGAACAAGTTTAATATGGAACAGAAGCATGCTTTTTTCAACTTTACTAAAATACTAGGTATTTTAAATTCTGTGGCCAAAACTTCTACATCATTTTCCTACCTGATACTAGTGGTTTCTGTATATTGGACAGCCATGAGCTGAGAATTTGAGCCCTGTTCCAGAGCACCCTGAAAGAAAAAAAAAAGATTTAATGTCATATAATGCAATTATACGACTCTATAATTGAGTCATTCTACATTTACTACAACTATATTGACTGATTCTACATTTACTAAACTCTCATTGAAGTATTCATATGGTTCTTTTCATGAATATTCTGACATATTAAGTTCACAGAACTAAATACCAACACAGAAATTAGAACCCTTTTGGTCACATTCTGGGCTGAGAAATGCGTCTTATGGAGAGCAAGACATTTAAAGCATCTCCTGTAAGTTTAAAAATGTAGTCCAAAAGTTTAGTTCAAGTACCACAAGTTTTATAACCAGGTCATACAAACATTACTGAACATATAAATTATGTTTGCCTAAAATAATTATTTTCACAAATATTACTGAATATATAACAACTTATGTTTGCCTAAAATAATTATTTTCACAATGAAAAGTTCCTGAAGTATGAAAAATCCACAATGAAACTAGCTCTTCATGCCTAAGAGTTGAACACAATGATCACCATGCGTAAATATACCTATGGACTAGGCCATCATTAAAGAGATTTCACCAATGACTCTTTTGGCCAGGAACAATCTGGAACCATTAGTAGGTCCAAGTATGCTACATTGGAAACCTGTCTTTCACACAGCATCTGCTTTGCACTATGCCAGGGAGTATAAGAAATATTCCCCAACAGTTTTGTAAGTTCATCTTCAGGAGACTTTTGTAAGGGTATCAGAAATCAAGAGCATGTTACCCATTTTACCTTAGGAAGTGACCTTACTACTATGCTGTCAAACAGTGGCTTAAGTAATTGTTCAATTATAAGACTATTAGCATGTGTTCATTACTGTACCATACCCCCATCGTTCAGCAATCAAATTTTTATAAAATGCCTGCTACATGCACTTGGGATATAAAATTTAATATTTGACTTCTGCCCTCAAGAAGCTTGTAGTTTAACTAAGACATACATTTGGAAACAATACAATGGGGTAAATGCTGAAACAGAAGAACACACAAATAGTAAAGGGAAAAAAGAGACAACGATCTTGTTTGGTGGATGTAGCCAATATGCAGGGATAAATATAGGGCTTCCAATCTCTGGCTCTTTAACAAATTAAGCATCTTATTTTATGAAGATCTAATGTTTTAGGTTTTGCATATAGTAGGTATTCAATAAATGTTTATTAAACAAAAATGAAAAGAGCAGGAAAAAGTAGACCCAAATAATATTTATGGGCATGCTTATCAACTTAAGTAGTAAATAAAACCAACATTAAATTAGTTAGTTGATAAAAATATGGTTTAAAATGAACTGATTAAATAGCTATTGAATTTTAAATGATTTTACTACTTTGGCACATATGAAATTAATACAGAAAACTGAAAGAAGCCAGACTTCTTTCCTTAGGCTCAGAAGTGAGTGGGTAGACTTCAAAGAAAGATCAGTTAGAGACACTGGGCAAATAGAAATTGGGTATGCTATTTACCCAATTTATACCGATTAACAAAGGAACCTCTGAGAAACTTGCCATGAGCTTTGGCATTTTTGGCTCTGTACATTTAGAAAAAGGTCGTAATTGGCAAAAATGTGAGTAGGACGTTTACATAGAAATGAGGATATTAAAATTTCCAATCATGTTGTAGATTTGTCCATGTTTCCTTTAGTTCTGTCACTCTTTTGCTTTATGTATTTTGAAGCTTTATTATTAGGGGCCTAAAACATTTGGAATTATGTCCTCTTGACTCAATGCTCCTTTTACTATTATGAAACTTTCCTCTTTGTCTCTCGTAATACATCCTGTGTATGAAAGTCTCCTTCGATTAATATAGCTCCACCACCTTTCTAATGCCTAATATCTGCACAGTGTACATACTTTTTCACCATTTTATTTTGTATCTGTGTTTTTACATTTAAAATGTTATTTCTTCTGAACAGTATATAGTTGGGTCTTCCCTTTTAAAAAATCTAGTTTGACAATCTTTCCCTTTTAATTAATGTGTTGAGGCCATAACACTTAATTACTAATATGGCTAGATTAAGTCTACTTAACCTAGTATGTATTTTCTATTTATCCTATTTGTTGTTTGTTCTTTTCCCGCCCTCTTTTGGTTGAAATACATATTTTTCAGTATTTCATGTTTATTTCCTGTATTGACTTTTTAGCTGTACTTCTCTGCTCTAGAGTTTATATTCTGATCTTTCAGTTACCACAGTCTACCTTCAAATATTACCTGGACAATTTAAAAACTTTATAAGAGCATAATTCCATTTGCCCCCTCTCCCTTTGTGTTCTTACTATATTACATTTCACTTCTACATACTATAAACCACACAACAAGCTGTTAAAGGACTTTTGATTTAAAAATATAATAGTCTTTTAAAGACATTTAAATATACATACATAAAATAAAGATAGTAAAAAAAAAATTTTTAAGGCCATTTATTATTATCAGATATTTGCACATTCTGGTGTTCTTCCTTCCTGCTAACTGGGTTCTATTATCATCTATATATCATCACTCCCCTTAATCTAAAAAACTTCTTTTAGTATTTCTTGTAGTGCAGATCTTCTGGAGACAAATTATCTAAGTTTTTGTCTGTCTGGAAATGTCTTTATTTTGCCTTTATTTTAAAAGATATTTTCACTATTTCATCCCTTTACCTTTTCTGGTAACTCACAGTCTAGGAAGAGGGTAGAATTATGAAATGGGACAAGCCAAGTCAAGGATATAATGCTTGGAGATGACAGAAATTTCAAAGATATGAAGTTTGATCAAATTTAGAGGATCTTATTAGACTCCTGGGTCCTTATAGTAGCTGAAAGGAGTGTCTGTAAGGAAAAGATTGAAATGAGGAAAAAAGACAAGGCAGAGAAGTTACAGGCTCTCTACACAGTAAAGAGGACCGGAAGAATTCTTCACAAGCTTTGCTATTGACAACAGCATAAGCAGAGAACCTTCTCATTCTTCTGACTGACCAAGAACTTCTTTTACCCTTGACAGATACAGATTAAACCCTGTCATTCCTTTTTCTGTAATAGCTAGAAGTCCCCATTTTTGACCATTATCTAAGCTCACTAGAGAAAGATATACACCAAGATAGAAGAGAAAGAAATAAGACTTTTAAAAAAATTGAAGTCTAGTTTATATACAATCTTATACTGGTTTCAAGTATACAATACAGTAGTTCAACAGTTACACACAGTAAATCCTCGCCCCCACTAGAGCAGTTACTACCTGTCAACATAGGATGTTATAGAATCACTGGCCATATTCTCCAGGCTGTACTACTGTCTCCATGACGAACTTATATATTTGAGAATTTTTGTGCTCTTTTATTCTCTTCACCATCTCCCCATCCATCCCAACCTCTCCCATATGGTAACCACAAATCTTTTCTCAGTGTCTATGCATCTACTGCTATTTTGTTCATTTTGTTTTGTTTTGTTTTTAGATTCTACAAGTAAATAAAATGATAGGGTATTTTTCTTTCCCTGCCTGGCTATAATTTCACTTAGCATAATACCCTCTAGGCCCATCTATGTTGTGACAAATGGCAGAATTTCTTTCTTTTTCAATAGTGGAATAGTTTTCCATTGTGTATATGTGCCACCTCTTCTTTACCCAGTCATCTATTGATGGACACTTTGGTTGCTTTCATATCTTGGCTATTGTAAATAATGTGGCAATAAACACAGGGGTGCATATATCTTTTCAAATCAGGGATTTTATTTTCTTTGGGTTATTTATCAAAGTGGAATTGCTGGGTTGTATGGTATTTCTATATTTAGATTTTTGAGGAACCTCTATACTGCTTTCCACAGTGGCTGTACCAATTTTACACTCCCACCAACAATGTAGAATTCCCATTTCTCCACATCCTTGTCAATACTTGGTATTTCTTGTCTTTCAGATAGTGGCCATTCTACCTGGTGTGAAGTGAAATCTCACTGTGGTTTTGAGTTGCGTTTCCCTGTTGATTAGAAATGTGGAGCGTCTTTTCATGTGCCTATTGGCCATCTGTATTTATTTTTTGAAAATTTTCTGTTCAGGTCCCCAGCCCACTTTTTAATTGGGTTATTTGTTTTCTGATGATGAGGCATATGAGTTCTTTATGTATTTTGGATGTTAACCCCTTATTGGATAAATTGCTTACAAATATATTCTCCCATACTGTAGGTTGCCTTTTTGTTCTGCTGATCGTGTCCTTTGCTGTACAGAGGCTTTTTAGTTTGATGTAGTCCCACTTGTTCAGTTTTTATTTTGTTTCCCTTGCCCAGGGAGACATACCAAGAAAAATATTGCTCACGCTTACGTTCAAAAGAGTTTTGCCCGAAAGCTTCTGTGATGACTGCCCTTGCACTGTTCACCATGTAAGAACTTATTCACTATGTAAGAATTTGTTCACCATGTAAGAACTTGTTCGATATGCTTCAGAAGATTGGAGACTGCTGAGAATTAGGCTTGGGGTTGATTAATGATTGTACATTGAGTCCCCTATACAGAATTTTATTGTTGTTAACAACCATTTGATCAATAAATATGAGAGATGCCCTCTTAAAAAAAAAGAGTTTTGCCTATGTTTTCTTCTAATAGTTTTACAGTTTTATGTCTTATAGTTAAGTCTTTAATCTATTTTGAGTTTACTTTGTGTATGGAGTCAGACAATAATCCAGTTTCATTCTCTTACATGTAAGCCATCTAGTTTTCCCAACACCAGTTATTGAAGAGGCTGTATTTTCCCCACTGCACATTCATGGCTCCTTTATCATAAATTAATTGACCATATATACATGGGTTTATATCTGGGCTCTCTACTCTGTTCCATTGATCTATGGATCTGTTCTTGTGCCAGTACCATGCTGTTTTGATTAATGTAGCATGAAAGGTAGCATTAATACCCTCAGCTTTGTTGTTCTTTCTCAGGATTGTTTTGGCTATTTGGGTTTTTTTGTGGTTCCACATGAATTTTAGGATTATTTTCTCTATCTAGTTTATAAAATGCCATTGGTATTTTGATAGGGATTGCACTGAATCTGTAAATTGTGTTGGGCAGGATGGCCATGTTGACAATATTAATTCTTCCTACCCATGAGCTTGGGATAGATTTCCATTTATTGGTGCCTTCTTTAATTTCTCTGATGAGTGCCTTAGAGTTTTCAGAGTACAGGTCTTTCACCTCCTTGATTAGGTTTATTCCTAAGTATTTTATTCTTTTTGATGCAACTGTAAATGGAACTGTTTTCCAGATTTCTCTATGCTAGTTTGTTGTTAGTATGTAGGAACACAACATATTTCTGTATATTAATTTTGTATCCTGCAACTTTGCTGAATCTAGTTTTAGGTCTAAACATTTTTTGGTGGAGTCTTTAGGAATTTCTGTCTATAGTAAGTCATCTGCAAACACTGACAATTTAATTTCTTCCTTACCAATTTGGATGCCTCTTATCTCTTCACGTTGTCTGACTGCTGTTGCTAGAACTTCCGGTACTATGTTGAATAAAAGTGGTGAGTTGTCTCATTCCTATCTTAAAGGAAAAGTTTTCAGCTTTTCACCATTGAGTATGATGTTAGCTGTGGGTTTGTTGTATAAGGCCTTTATTATGTTGAGTCATGTTCCCTCTCTACCCATTTTGTTGAGTTTTTATCATGAATGGATGTTGAATTTTGTTGAATGCTTTTTCAGCATCTACTGATACAATCACATGGTTTTTATCCTTTTTGTTAATGTGGTGTATCACACTGATTGATTTATAAACACTGTACTATCCTTTCAACCCTGGAATAAATCCTACTTGGTCATGATGGATGATCCTGTTGATGTAATTTTCAATTCAGTTTGCTACTATTTTGTTGAGAATTTTTTCATCTATGTTCTTCAGGGATACTGGTTTATAATTTTCTTTTTTTGTAGTGTCTTTGTCTGGGTTTGGTTATTAGAGTGACGCTGGCTTCATAGAATGAGTTTGGAAATATTCCCTCCTCTTCTACTTTGGGAATAATTTTAGAAGGATGGGTTTAGCTCTTCTTTAAATGTTTGGTAGGATTCAGCCATGAAGCCATGTGGTCCTGAACTTTTGTTTGCTGGGAGTGTTTTGACTACCAATTCAATTTCAGTAGTGGCAATTGGTCTGTTCAGATTTTCTGCTTCTTCCTGGGTAAGTCTTGGAAGGTTGTAATTTTCTAGGAATCTGTCCATTTCTACTAGGTTGTCCAATTTATTGGCATGTAATTTTTCATAGAATTTGGTAATAATACTTTGTATTTCTGTGTTACACTTCATGTAATAATTCCTTTCTTGTTTCTGGTTTTGTGTACTCTTTTGTTCTTGATAAATCTGTCTATTTTGTTTATCTTTTCAAAGAACCAACTCTTGGTTTCACTGATTTTTCCTATTGTTTTATTCTTCTCTATTTTTCTTTTTCTATTTCTTTAGTTGTGAGTTTACACTGTTTATTTGCGATTGTTCTTGTTTCTGGAGATAGGTCTGTACTGCTATATACTTCCCGCTCAGAACCACTTTTGTGGCATCCCACGTATTTTGAACTGTTGTATTTTTGTTTTCATTTGCTCCATGTGTTCCTTGATTTGTTTTGATTTGTTTATTGATACATTGATTATTTAGAGGCATGTTGTTTAGCCTCCATGTGTTTGTGGTTTTTTTTTCCCTTCATGTAATTTATTTCTCATTTCATACCATTGTGATCTAAAAAGATGCTTGATATATTTCAATTGTTTTGACTTTACTGAGGCTAGTTTTGTGTCCTAATATGTGGTCTATTCTGGGGAACATTCCATGTGCACTTGAGAAAAATGTGTATCCCACTGTTTTTGGGTGGAATGTTCTATATATATCTGTTAAGTCCACCTGATCTAATGTATTGTTTTGTGCCTCTGTTTCCTTATTTATTTTCTGTATGGTTGATCTACTGATGTAAGTGGTGTGCCAAAGTCCCCTAATATGATTGAGTTGCAGCCTCTTTCTCCCTTTAGTTCTACTAGTATTTGTTTTACACATTTAGATGCTCCTATGTTGAGTGCATAGATATTTATAATTGTTATAGCATCTTGTTGGACTGATCTCTTTATCATTATGTAATGTCCTTCTTTGTTACTTTCTTTGTTTTGAAATCTATTTTGTCTGATATGAGTACTGCTACTCATACTTTTTTCTGCCTATTATTTGAATGAAATATCTTTTCCATCCCTTCACTTTCAGTCTATGTATGTCTTTAGGTCTGAAATGAGTCCATTGGAGGCAGCATATAGATGGGTCTTGTTTCTTTATCCATTCTGCCACCCTCTGTCTTTTGTGGTGCACTCAGTCCATTTACATTTAAGGTACTTATTGAAAGGTATGTACTTACTGCCACTATGCAAGCAACAAGAAACAAACCTGAAGAATGTGTGTTTTCTGTTGGTCATTCATCAATCTTCTTGATTTTGTCCTTTCCACTTCGTGTCTATGAACCCACCCTCGAAGTTCATGATTTAACCTATAAAAAGAGCTCAATTAATTAAACATATGACATAGAAATAAATGGTTCACTCTTGGTTGGAAATGAAACTGAAGGATCCAAACGGCATTCTAAGTGCCTGATAATTCAATACCTTTTTTTGATTTGAAAAAAGCTAAGACAGTTACTGTTAAGTTGTTTTTAATAACACAAGCATTTTTATATGGTAGCCTCCTCAATCATGAATTTAAAATTCAAAGAAAACCATAGCTAAATACCTGCCAAATATAAATAACGGATGCAAAGGTTATTCCACCAAAAAAAGTATTTCCTGTTTCTGCTCTTAGGCTAAGTACACACAAACACTGGAAAGCATTTAAGAAGTCATGGGACACCTGACAAAGGCATTAAAGCCTTTGAAAGTTAGGTTCTTTGGGGAGAAGGAAAAGAATGAAAACTGCTCTGGAAAAAAAGTGGGAGCAAGGGAAGAAATGTCAATGCAGTATAATCCAGATATTCAAACACTGAAAATAAAAATGTTCAAATGTTAACTTCCTTTATTTTTTTGGGGGGGCAGTTGTGAAGGTGTTGGACTATGCTTACTTAACTATAGTTGCTAACTAGTTATTACAAAAAAAGCAAAGCAGTTTTGAGGTTCAAGGATAGGATTTAAAATCACAAGAAATAACTCACGGGACAAGTAGATAAGGAAAGGTTCACTAACGGGGAAGTGCCTCCAGGATCACATGTCTTCAAATTATTACCTGCCTAACTTGAAAAAAAAAGGTACCTTCTGCTATGAATTGCAAGTCTAACACTCACCCTGAATTTTTATATTATTATCATTCTCTAGTTTTCAAATAAGACATATTTAAGTATACAATCCCAATACTATTACATGAAATAGACCCATCACCCATCTCTAGCAGGTTGGTACGCAAACTGGGCAATAACTGATATGCCTAGGGTTATCCAGCAAACATTCTCTCAGCCAATTAATATGAACAAATACTTTTCTTGGTTCCAAATCTAAACACAGGAACTCACTCATATATTTCTGCAATAATCTACACACTCACCTGAGAGACTCTGTGGTGTTAATCAGTGGCTGACAAGGAGGAGGAGGAATATAGAGCAGTGGTTCTTCAGTTAGCACCATCAGGGCTTTGTCGTTTGAAACAGAATGATCGTATCTGAAACACACATGCATGAAGTATGTCTCCTTGCATCTTAAATTCCTAATTAGTTTGCTATCAAAAAGTGATCTCCAGTATTAACTTTTCATGGAAATAAAAATATAGTAAATAGAACATATACTATAAGGTAGAAGCAAATGTAACAGAAAAGGAGGGAAGTATAGACCATACAGCACAAATATCATTTCCCAGGTTTTTAGAGAGATTATCATGGTAACACACATTTATCCAGCCACCATTTATTGAGCAATTATTATGCACCAAAAACTAGGAATACAATGGCAACACATGGTTTATGTCTTCAATGAGCGCAAGACATACACACAGTGCTGCTGGAACAGAGGAGGTGACACTATAATGGGGGAAACTGGGGGAAAGACCTACTGATTGATAGGAAAGACTATTATGTGGTTAGGACTAAAGTTTTGTGGTAACAAACCTCGACAGTCTCCTTAAAACAGTGCATGTGTCAGTGGGGAGAGATGCATAACACACTTGGCAGTAGAAAAGTCGAAGTGTTGAAAGCTGAATATAAATTTTAGGATCATGGAAGAATCTGAGTCAGTAATAAAACACCAGAGTGACATTAACCAGTTACTCCATTAGCTTCAAAAAATAGACTTTTTCTAACCATCACACTGATCTTTATCATGTGAATTCATATCCAGGGTGTGATTCAGGGGGCAAAACTTGAGTTGAAAATCAGAATTTGAGCTGGGGGTGTTAATACCATTTATTCTTCAGTCTGCTATTTAAATCTTTCTCACTAAGAAATTTTAGATCTGTCTTGAATTTCTTTATATACCATGCTTTGTATCTAGAAAACTCAATATGCTAAAACCCAAAGAGAAAACATATAAACACCAAAACTGGACATAGCAAGATCACACTTTTCATTAATTCATTCAACAAATATCTACTGAATACTGTGTACCAGGTATTGTGCTAGGTGCTAGGCATCTAATAGCACACAAAAGAAATGAAATCTCTATCCATGAGGACCTCAAAGCACACACACAAAATAAATCCAAACTGTGGTAAGAGCTATGAAAGAAACAAATGGCTGAAATAGAAAAACAATGGCAGCATCTACACTAGATAAATACTCAGGGGGAGATGGTGTTTAAGTCAAGGCCTAATCAATGAGAACTAGTTAGCCCTACAGAAATTGGGGAGAATGTTCTAGATTAAGACTGGTGGGGAAAAGGTGGGTTTAAGGAACTTAACAAAGACCACTCATCAGCCAAAGAGTTGGGAGATAAAAGGAGGCACAAGATGAGGTTGGAAAGATAGACCAGATTGTAAGGAATTACTCAATGTAATGAGAACAAAGGGTGTTGAGTAGTGAAGTGATATATTTCAATTACACCACAGATGAAAGCAAAAAGGGAAACTGGGAGACCAGCTAGGAAAAAGCTACAGGAACCCAGGCAAGAGCAGAACATGGTGATGGCAGTGAAGATGGAGGGCAGTGGGCCAATTCAAGATAATTTTAGGGAAGAGTATCAACAGCACCTACAGAAATGAGGAAGATTTCTGTAGAGAAGTGGATGGAGGTGAACCATGGAGACCATGGTACCGAGAGACCACTGTGCATGTGCTAAGTTGGAAGTGTTAAAATAGAGCAAATCCAAGGAAACTCCTGGATACATGAGTCTGGAAATTCCAGCCTGGACAGGAAACATAAATTGGAGAATTGTCAGGATAGAGAGATATGGATTCTGTGCTAAATTATAGATGAGTTGCCGATGCAGAAAGAAAACTAAAAAGTTTACAGTTCTAAACCTGGAGATTTGGACAGAGAAGGAGGCTGCAAAGAAGACTGAAAATGAAATCACTGGCCCCCTTGACTAAAACAATTTTGGCAGAGTGGAAAACTAACTGCCAGGTCCAAGCTAGAGACTTCTGTGTATACTGCACGCAATGGAAATGCAGCAAACAGCTGAGGATACATCATTCTTCCCTGCAACCTGCACCAGGAACACTCTCAAAGTCCTCTATCGCCTACTAGGATTAAGTTGGAATCAAACAGAGATGGCGGCACACAGGTAATAACCTCACACACAAAAGGAGATCAGCCTGAAATTAATGTTGAGGGAGAAAAAAAAACCCAAAACTCTGCCTTGTAGTTGGTAACTTCTGAATGCCTAAGAAAGAAGCTGTTTGCTCCACTAAATAAACCAAGAACAAAGACCTGTCACATGTGACTTATTTTGAAAATCAAGTCGTCATACTTACAGAAATACCAATGCTGTAGTCCATCAGAGAAGCCCAAAACTGCTTTTGAAAACATATTCTGATTTATAATTTTATTTCAATGTAATCAAATCTAGTAATGATTTCTGCACATCAGTGCTAAAGGGCTTTGTTCTATCAGCCAAAAATATTCTTTGGAAAAGAAGAAAAAAGTCTGATAGGAGAAATACCAGGAAAGGACTGGGTGGAGTTGAAGGGGAAAGAAGAGGGAGAATCTAAGCTCAGGACAAT